CTATTTATCTCAATAGTTTTAACAACACTTGGATAATGGGTTGAGTAGAACTCAAGGATATAAAAATTTTATTTAGTTGGTGGTATGTGAGGTTAGCAGTGAATTCCAGAATGTGGGATTGATCAGCTAGATGTACCTGTATCTCCAGTGAGTGTTGATATTTCGACTCAGATTTAAACCCAGAGCCCATCGTACCAAATAGCAAAGTGTTAGCCACTAAATGAATGGTGTGTCCAGTGATGAGTCTCACACAGGAAGAAATACGCTTCCATGGATTTCATTCCTTATTATTATTATTACTTCCTTAGGTTCCGAGGGGAACATAGGGCTGTAACAGCATATCTGAACTTCAACTAGCCGTAATATTGACTATAGACTCTCACCTCCTCCACACACGATCCCCTCCACGTCACCCTTGGACTCACGCCCAACTCGTTGTTTACCATTTGGATCCCACTTGACCACCAGTCTGGCGTGCGATGTCACACGACATTCTTCTCACAGCGTATCCAATCTATCGCCATTTTTTCTGGAATATTTGTTGAACAAAAGATTCTTGATTTGTTCATTTCCAGAGTTTCTTGTTGATAATTCTTTCTGGTTGGCTGACTGGCTGACTGACCATTCGAACTTCAGCATGCAGCCAGCCAACAAAGGCCCCAGATGTTGATGAAAGTGTGTAACTAGCTGTTGGAAATCCTTTATGTGACACTCTGAATAAGTTCCTGATCCGTATAGAAGAACTGACTGTCTGACTGACTTCACATTTGTGTTGAACACAATCCGAACCTCGTTCTTAATGCTGCTGACTGAGTTAGTGAAGAAGATTTCCAAACTGGATTCAGGTTGGTTGGTGAAGACGTATCTTGCCTTACCTTTCGTATTCTGGTTGGCTGCCTAGCTGGCTTTGCCATCTTTATCCGTGTGGTGGACCTGCGGTTGAAACTGTGTTTCCTGGCCAGATAAGTGAAGGAAGTAACCTGTGTGAAATCTCTCCTGTTGATGATGTGATTGGTACTGGTTGTTGTTGTTGCTCTTGTTGTTGGTTGGTTGGTTGGTTATCTTTATCACTTTCGTCTTCTTTATGTTCATCACCTGGAGTCCTGTCTTCACTGCCTGCCAGGCGAAGGGGGCAGATTTGACTCGTTGCAAAATGGTTTTTATGACTCGCGCGTGCTAAGTTTCCAACCCAAATAGAAGAACTACTGGTTGCTGTTAACTAAATGTTATCATGTTAATTTCTAGGTATCGTCGATGCATCCGTATTAGGGGCCAATATTTCAACAAAGAGCAAGTACTTCAGGTGAAAATAAATCCGTCCACAGTAAATACAAGATTATATAAGCAGATAACTGCTAATCGATGAACCCATGTAAGGGAAAGACTCCCAAACCACTAGATCATTTAGTAGTCATTGTACAGTTCAACGACTTCACTGAAATTTAACTGTCCTGAAATTTCAGACTTCTGTGTACAAGTGGTGTGGCGTCATTGTGAGATCCAGTATCATTTGTGATTATATGTCTTCAGCTGACTGAATTTGGTAGATCGTGTAAGCTAAAGAATCCCTGAAAACAGAAGATAACTTTGAGACGCTCCAGTACTGATTTCTGAATACTCTGCAAATGACTGAACCCAAGATCTCTTTAGGTTAAGAAGCTCACCTTTTGGTCTTTCAATCAATAGTCTGGGATCCAGTGGACACTGTGAAGTCATAACAAGAATTCATGGCTGGTGTAGTCCATCACGTCTGGTAAGAAGCAGGTGCTCATCGATGATGTTAATTGGTAGTAGTACTAAATCACAAAGTGACAGAAGTTGGAATTCATGGGGATCAATGAATACCATCCTAGTGGTTGGATGATTTACAAGATGGGTTTGAAAACTGTAGATCATCAGTTCGACCCGTAGTTGGGCTGTAGGTGAGCGATGCTGGGGAGTCCCAAACTAGGATGAAAGAGCTGTCCAGTAGTCCCTTATTTTCAGTACTGGTTCTGTAATTGATGGGTTTGTTTGTGATCAAAACTTAACAACTGAAATTAATCCAAACACCTACAAGCATCCATAATCTTAAGACAATAAATCGTCATCTAAAGGGTGATTTTTACGAGGCCATCAGCGAAAATAGAACTCGAGGTGAAATAGAGAAGACGGAGGTGATGAAGATAACCAATGAACCAACCAACAACAGCAGCAGCAACAATAACCAGCACCAATCACACCATCAACAGGAGAGATTTGACACAGGTTACTTCCTTCACTTATCTGGTCAGGTACCATCGTTTCAACTACAGGCAGTCGGAGTGGATGAAGATGTCGAAGCCAGCCAGCCAGCCACCCAACCAGAATCGGAAAGGTAAGGCAAGATACGCCTTCACCAACCAACCTAAAAATCTTCTGCACTGACTCAGCCAGCCAGTATTAAGAACGAGGTTCGGATTGTGTTCAACACAAATGTGAAGTCAGTCAGACAGTCAGTTTTTCTATACGGATCAGGAACTTATTCAGAGTGTCACATAAAGAATTTCCAACAGCTAGTTACACACTTTCATCAACATCTGGGGCCTTTGTTGGCTGGCTGCATGCTGAAGTTCGAATGGTCAGTCAGCCAGTCAGCCAACCAGAAAGAATTATCAAAAAGAAACTCCCTCTGTCTGGGAACAAACCAACAAACAAGAGCTGACTGTTCAAAAAAGGCGTATGTAGGAGAAGATTGAGATGGGTGGATTTGGCATACTTTGAAGAGGCTGTTGAATGACATCGCGCTCAGTGCAGACCATCGGTCGAGTGCAGGGTGAATGGGAAGCAATGAGGGAGTAGGCAGTGCAAGGTGACATGGAAGAGATCGTGTGGAGACTTGGAGGAGATGATAGATTCTGAGCAATGGTGGAGCTAGCCATCTGAAGAGGACAGCACACAATGGAAGAAAGATGAGATATGTTTTTGAAGCCAGCCCTACGTTCCACTCGGAACTCAAGGGAATGATAATACATAGATATCCTATGAAATCCCACCGACAGATGGATGTGAGGCTGTGACATCCAGTACAATAAATAACAGAAATCCTGTGTGTATTACTAAACATTTAGTAGTTCATTTTGCAAAGGGATTAGGTGCCTCTTGTGACACAACAGCCTAACTGATAACACATAAACATTTAATGCGATGAAGCATGGCATCGGTTGAAGGTGATGGGTGAGGACTGGGTACAATGTAGATGTGCCGCTGAAACTCTTTTTTTCCACTTATAGTGCATCAAATAAATAATCATAGTTCACTAGTCTAAATAAAATGAGGCGCGTCAACTTGATCCCACTTCCAGCTAGTATCAACCAAATAACAGCAAGATTATCTTAAGATAGACTTCGAATCCTCCACATTAGGATCTGATATATCAACAGAGACTGAACATTCGGGTTCAGTGAAAGCATTCAGTGAGGGATTCAAAACCATACTTCCACCGAGTTGAAAAATACATGAATAAAAGAAAAGAAATTGAAGGAATTCGAGGACATTTTTCCTTTTGAAATTGCTTCAATGTATATCACGTGGTTGGAGGCGATTGGCCACAGGAAACCTTTGCTGTACCTAGGTTTCGGGCTAGTTGGCACTCGCTGTCCCTTCTGAGATTCAAACCCGCGTCACCCAGCGAGTGCTGAAGTCAGAGACGTTATCACTGAGCAGCTATTCGGGCTGGCTCGCGATTGACCTCCTGTAGGACTGTATTGGATATTTTCGATTGGACACTAGTCAGTAACTAGTGTAATGTGTGTGTGATTGTGTGTCTAGTCTTACTTTTGGTGCAGACCGAATTATATCAGTCACCTTTGTAATGTGGCCACTATGCTAGTTGTCCAGTGAACAAAGGACAAATTAGTGTCCAACCAGTGTATCTAATACATTCCTACGGGAAGTCGTGCGCGAGTTCGAATAGCTCCATAGTGGTAACGTCTCTGACTCCAGCATTCAATAGGTGACTGGGGTTCCAACCTCCCAGGAGAGGGACGTGAGATCCCTGAAGATCGCAGATACTTAGGTTTAATCAAGGTTTCTTGTAGCCATTTACCCCCAATCATTTAATAACAGCAATTCAAAGTGCCCCGTGATGGCGAGCCACCTAGAATAGTGGCCACATTGCAAACGTGACTGATAGAATTCATTCTGCACCAAAGATAGGACCAGACACTTTACACTTGTTACTGACCTGTTTCCAATCAAAAATATGCTTTGATGTATATTCGTGATGCACAGTGCGACTACCAGTCAATGTCATTGGACAGTATACCTCCTCATCACACCCGTTGGTCACCACTTTCAGTTGGAACTTCAGACAACGTCATCCTATGTTCAGTCACTAGTTTCCAGTGGACTGATTTCCAGGAGTTGGTTTTTTAAGGGCAAAACAGCTGTCCAGTACTCCCTCGATTTCAAAGGTCCTCTGCATGATATATGATTTCGTGGTTTAACTGACGGGACGAATTCCTACAAACTAACCAGTAACTCACCCCAAGATGAAGTTGTCTGAATATCTGACGGGAAGTCTTGACTAGTAGGGTCCTATCTGTTGGGAAACCAAACTAAGGAGATTTTTGTTGCAATAAGGCCAGCTCACCACTATAAATCAAATGCACTAATCAGAATTCAATGTTTCATGAATTCTACTTCTTTTCAAATCACATAAATCGCGAACTACCATTTCATGCAAAGATTAAAAATTTGCGTCTAGTACATAATTTCACTTTACTCTCTGTTAACAGTGGACAGAGATTATTCCAGATTGATGAAAACATCATGGAAGACTATAATTTTACCTGTGAAATAAGATTAATTCAAAAAAATGAATCGAATACTGCATTGATCATGACTCAGCATTGAATATTAATAAACCAATAGAAAATTCCCATGAACCTACCAATTAAAATGAAGTATATTTAATTCTAAAATCTGATTAGTTGAAACACAGCTTAAACGAAACTCCCGGTTAAGTTGAATTTTCTTCACATAATCTGAACCAAATATTAGACTGATTGCATGTATGAAGGATACCTATAAGTCAGCAGATATAAGTACATCAATGAAATATGCTGAAATTAATGGAATTCCAGAGGTATTTTCTGCATTATATCAATCAGCTACTAGGTTACTGGTTTCCTAGGTGACCTTCAACATAGAATATATCCGAAGAAACATTTCTATATTTGTCCTGATTATAACAGGACTGCGGATTGTTTACCAAGTGAAATAAGTGAAGATTTGCATTGGATATTCACAAAAAAGGTCGAAATAGGACCAACTCTTATTTAAAAGTGTCTGTGTTTACTTCACCATGGAAAAATCTGAAATAAACTTAATTAACTTGGCATATCAAGGTGACATTATCAATAATGGAAAGTCATGTTATTAAGTTGAGTATGCGTAGTTATCGGTGGGATCCAGGGTCCATTTCAGATTGGGATGATCAATACTACAAATATTTTCGTAGAATTCATCAAACTACTTATAGTAAGCAGAATCTAAAAATCGGAAGATTTGATACAAAGAGTCTGAGCTTAGATACAACTCTTATGAATATTAAGAGTTGTACTCATAAATTAATGATGATGATGATTGGTACTGGAATCTGGGATGCACATTTTGACATGTCTAAGACTCGTCGCCTGGGTGTACTGCATTCTCAGTGGTTGATAGTCTCAATAGGGATACCAAAGTGTTATCCAACTGACGAGTTCTAAATAGGACGAACTGAGCATCCTGGATTCTACTGCTGGGCACCGTCATTCAGAAATAGCAGCATAATCAATCAGCGATAAAGGCAGATTTACGAATATTTACACCTTTCACTGAAACTTGTAACTTCTGTTGGCAGTATAGGGTCGTAGAACTGACGGTGTGACGTTTTTGTTGATTTTGAATTGAAGATTTACGATCAATGAAGCAACTGCTTCGAAGTGAGAGATTTTTCTAGAAAAAACAGGTGAATGACCTTTTTCCTTTACTCCGCTTGATAACTTTTTTGATATTTGATATTATGTATTATGGGTTGACACCTCCTTGAGAACGATCTCGAGGTGTGACTACATTCAGCTGATGAGCAGTGTGCGAGACGAAATGTGAGCTTTCTACACTTCTTTGTGAGGGTCTTCAGACAGATAATTATTCTCTTTTATTTTGTTGGAATGTATGCATTATATTTCTAGAATTCAAAGTATTTATTGAGAAAATCTGAATTGTATTCACTAAGTGAATAAATCAATAAATGTAATTATTGAATTTAAATTTATTTTAATGTGGAAATAAATGTCCGTACTAAATTATGTCTCAGTAATTGATTTTTTTAATGACATATTTGTCAAGTTTAGTAATTAAAATTATAGAATAATCAATTAATACATAATGCTATATACTACTGATCGACTGCTATGAGTAGCTGAAGACGACAGAAAAGTAATAAGCAATAGTGCTTGCTAGCCACACCAAACGGCCATGATTGATTCATTGCTAAATACTGATCACAGATTACATTATACTTGAATATTAGATAGTAGACTCAATTATTAAAGTATGTAATGTCACGAATTGACGTTAGTTATGTGGTATTGGATGGTGATATCACTACAATATTGAGGATTTTTAGATGTTAGAATACATCGGTCATCGAATTCCAAGCCAGTGACTGAATGCTTGACAGGTTCATCTTGTATCTTGAAGAATAACTAAGCAGTATGGGGGAAAGTCACCTAATATTTCTGAAACACTGGCGAAAGATAGAGGATAGTAGTGTTCACAACTCACCAGTCATTTAATTTCGACCGAAGTGGTTGATTAGCCAAGAAGCTCAATTTGTTATCTGAAAATTCTGTGTTCGATTCCACGTGAGATTATTGGTGAACACTATTATTATTATTACCCCCTTGGGTTTCGAGTGGAACATAAGGCTGGTTTCAGCAAAATATCTCCACTTTGTTCTATTTTCTGCTGTCCTCTCCATCAGCTGGGTCCGCGATTGCCCATAATCTCTCACCTCCTCCTCCTCAGACGATCTCCTCCATATTTCCTCGCACCGACGACCCACTCATCGCTTCCCATTCAACCTTCACCCAAGCGATGACTTGCATTGAGCGCGATGTCATTCGACCGCCTCCTTGTCGTACGCTCGACCAATCCATATCCATTTTCTCCTACATGTTTGTTGAGCGATCGGCTTTTGCTTGTTGGTTAGTTCCCACACAACCTGAGTTTCTTGTTACTAATTCTTTTGCCTGGCCATTCGGTCTTCAATAACCAACCAACGAAGGAAGCTGGGGGTTGATAAAAGTGTGTAATAGCCGGTTGGAAATGCTTCCCGTGACGCCCTGATCAAGTTCCTGACCCGTATAGAAGAAACGACTGAATGACTGACTTCACATTCGTGTTGAACACAATCCGAATATTGATGTCGTTTATGCTGGTTGACTGAGTTAGTGCAGAAGATTTCCAAACTGGTTTCACGTTGGTTGATGAAGGCGTAACTTACCGATTCTGGCTGACCTTGAAATCATCCGTTCAGTGGGCCTGTGGTTGGAACCATGCTTCCTGGCTAGATAAGTGAAGGAAACGACCTGTGTCAAATCTCTCCCGATGATAGTGATTGGTGCTGCTTGTTGTTGTTGAGGGTTGTTGGTTGTATTCATCATCTTTGTCTTCTCTGTGTTCGCCTGGAGCCCTGCCTTCACTCCCTGCTAGTCCCTTCTGCCAGTTTGTTGGTTTCCGCCTGCAAGCCTTCGAGTTTGTGTGTGTGTGTGTGTAATATTAGACATATATAATCTGCGAAATCCAGATTTTCTAGAGTCTTCTAATCAGGTATTGCAGACTATTCATGTCTTCTCACTCCCTCTGCACAGTCTGATGCATAAATCCAGTCCACCACAATTAAGAATATCATCGGTGATAGTGGGCAGGCAGCCAGCTCATCTTACTCCTGTATTCACTTCAGACGTCTCGCTGGGTTTTCTGTTGTAGATCACCTGACCCGTGGCATTGTCACATAGCTAACCAGCTGTTGAATGAGGTTGACAAAGACTTGGGCACACTACTAAAGTTTTCTAAACTATTAGGGTGAAACAACTGTCCAGTGTTCCCTGGCTCTCATTATTTCCCTAAATAATATCAGTTAGTGATTAAATCTACCTATCTGTCTAAACTAACCATAAACTGACAGCTTTTTATTAGTGACATAGGTGATAACGGAAGGTGAAGTGAAAATCTGGGTCGCGACAGGATTCGTAGCTCAGCTGGTAGATCCCTGGACTAGTAAATCAAAGGCTGTTGGTTTGAAGCCAGATAAACAAATAAATGAATAAGAAGGGTCTTAGTAATCTCATATTTGGTTCAACTGTGCAAACACGCAGTAAGCGATCTTATAATAGAATATCAATAAAAGTACTGCCATTTATCACCATTAAGGTGCAGCCACATGAACAATAATAATAATAATCTACTTTATTCCAAAAACACTACTTGTGATACAGAATGGAATTTCCAGCATTCATCACAATATTCCATCTAATTTCCTAAAATTATAAATAAAAATTAGTCACACAGAAAATTTTTAACATTTACAATAAGGGTAATGTCAAAAACATGCAGCATATAAAATGGAAATAATAATAATGATAACAGCTAAGGTAATAATAATAATAATACAAGTGAAAATTGCCGTGGGCTTGTTTCACACAGTATTGTCGATGCGGTATACAAATCCTAGCATGTTTAAAAATATTGAATATAGTGTTCTCTTTACATGATATGGTGACGGAAAAAACAAAGATTACAGCAGTCATAGAGATAAGTTGGTGTTTGCAGTTATGAAAGTGAAAATAAAGAATCAACAGGACCATAAATATAATAGAAATAATAAAAGTAAAACTTGAAGGTATATAAGGATGGATGGAGGAAATTGTTTATTTACTGGATGAAAAAAGGTTAGTTAGAAACTGGCTAATCCTCAGTGATGAACAATTGCAACCACTGATGTCTTGCACGAAGTTAGTCGTGGGTCCTGGCAGCTCAAGAGCAACGCCTCTGATTGCTGGACTAGCTACCGCAGGTTCAGATGTCAGAAACGACTTCAATTACTTTTTCAGTGCTAGTATGCCTTTCTAAACAGCACTTCAATAAACAATAAACCTAAGTCAAAGGTTTCCTGCCAACTTCCTCCAATTATTTAACATCATGATCGCAATATATCATCGTATTATCGATTACAGCGTTGCTCACGAATACTATCCTTTGTATAAGCAGTTCGCATGCCGTAAAGATGTGATCAGTAAAAATCCCTAACCACAGTTCTAGATTTTATTTCAAGTGTAATTATGGATAGAAAAATTGATTAAGAGTTTGATAAAATACACTCTGATATAGTGTATTGTTCAATGGAATAATTACTACAATGAAATGACTGTTCGTATTAGATGGTTGGAGGCAATCGACTGCAGGAAGCCCTACCTGGACCTAGGTTTCGTGCTAGCCGGCACTCACTGTCTACAAGGCGCATCTGCAACCTCGGAGGAACGCATGTTCCTTCTGAGATTCAAGCCCACGTCACCCAGTGAGTACTGGAGTAAGAGACGTTACCACTGAGCAGCTATTCGGGCTCACGATTGACCTCCTGTAGGACTGTACTGAATATTTTTGACTGAACACTTGTCATTAACTAGTTGTGTAATGTGTCTAGTCCCGTCTTTGGCGCAGACTGAAGCGTATGCCAGTGCTGTTTGCAATGTGGCCAGCATGCCACTAGGTGGCTCGCCATCATGGTGCACTGTGAACTGTTGGTATTATATGGGACATGAGTTCCTTCAAGGTTCCAGATATGCCTTGCTGACGAGTGAAAACTAGCACGAAACATAGGTGCAGCCAAGGCTTCCTGCCTCCAACTATATAATACCAACAATTCAGATTTTAAAGTGGTGGTGAGCTATCTAGAATGGTGGCGATATTGTAAACAACACTGACTGATACAATTCAGTCTGCACTAAAGATAGGACTAGACACATTACAGTAGTTAGTCATAATAGTAGTAATGATAGTAAGAATAAAAGTAATAATAATGGTTTTATCAACAATAAGGATGAAAAAGTGAGGCAATGTGATAACACGAATAATGATGAAAAACTGCATGATTAAACAAACAAATGTTCAGATAGAAGTGGTCGATAAAGTCTAGTAAAGACAAATAAACCGATTAAGTAATGTTAGATTGTAAGGGAAGTAAATAAAATACGTTCTAATGAAGATGTGATAAGATTAAGCGATGATAAGAAAGGGGTTGAAAATATATGCAAGGGGTTGTGAAGTTATCAGTTGGTTGGGCCTTACCATAGGCTGAAGGAGGGATAATGGCTGTACGAACTTCTTTTGAATGCATAGTTTAGGTTTAATATTTCGAATGCCTAGCGCCTGCCTCAGCTGTGTGCAGTAGACGAATACGAAGTCTATTGGAAAGATGCATTGGGATACGATGAATTACCTTGAAAGCTCTCGTTTACTCCACTACATGACCACTATCAATTAAATGTGACAAAATTGAGCTACGGATTGTTTTTGTCTGTCATTTGCCAAACCACCACGATGGGAGATGTTCAATAACATGTTGGCTAAGCTGTCTAGTAGTAGTGTGCCCAAAATAATTGTCACTGCAGGTGCAGTTGAATTGATAAATCCACATAGATGTGGCAAAACTATCTAGCTTAGCCTTCGTTGCGTCCCAATCATTCGTCGGCTATGGAATGATAAACATAGGTTTGCTGCGTAAAACGTTCTTCGTATACTCCTGGAAAGTCTTTGGTATAAAATCTCACTTGATAAGTCACCATTAAATTGTAACTTAATAAATATAGGT